AAACCGCTTTCCGTAGTGAACTCGGGTGAGAAAGTGCCGTAAGCTCGGACTCGACTTCGGCTATTATTGTAGAGGGATTGTAAAACAGAAATAAACTTCTGGGGCAAACCCTTTAGAGCGAGGCAGCGCCAGAGTTTGGAGCGGTCGGCTGAGTCGAAAGCCGCTTTCAGATCCATGGACATAGAAATGTTGGGTCTACAAAAGGAGTGTCTGTGTTATAGAATATGACGAAGAGTGAAGATGTGGTCGTTACAACCTCGACCAGGTCTAAAACCAGCCTGGTTTTCACATGTGCACAGTCGTAGCGGGTAGGGCTAGGTCTTGGGTCGAGAGGGGCCAGCTCACCTGTAACTTGAAAGGTTCTGCCCAACGTTCAAGACAGTGTCACCGATGGTGAATCAGTGTCCTACTTGACTAGTGAGAATAGAAGTGGGTTCAGCTTATTTCCAACGTATTTCCAGATCAACTAGTTCTCCCTTCCCGGAAGTTGAAAAGCACCCCCACCCCGAATGATAACTTAATGTATTTTGTTATTCTCCCGTCGATACAATGTTCCACCTCACAAACACGACGATGATTCCAAGTATTTCGTTACCACAGTGAGCTGAATTTGAGTAAAATAAGTCTCGAGTCAAGGTTAATAATAATATTGCGTTTGGCACTATAGAGAACCAAAGCATATTACTTCTTCCCTTTTAATTCTTCCATGAGTATAAGTGTCATTGTGTACCATTTATCTAAATAAACGATCTATGTATATATGCGCGGTAATATAGAACCAATTGTTTGGTTACTTGCTGTGTTTTGGGAGACCTGGCAGTTTTCCAACCACGAGTGAACAATGGACCGATTTTTTTGCCACAACCTGCACTCAGACGAGGGATTTCTTATCGAATATCAACGACTTTTTGTGGTTACTGTATAAGTTTCAATGCTCATCGCCGAAATCGTTTCCCATGTCTCCCGTTCCGTGCTGCATCACACACAGTGTTTATATTTTCAGTTATTCACTCATTTCTGGACCAGTGGCGCACACCAGTGGGGCAAAGCACCTTTTCGGACTGGATCAAGTTTTCGATCCGTACACCACAAATAGCATCACAACAGCGCAGTTCCTCATATCGTCATTGGCCAATAATGCATGTGCTTGAATTGTTCACCAGGCGAGAACCCTTTTTTATCGCGTGGAATGCGGTCGGTTCAGTGGCATTGGTCCCCGATTATGCATGTATATATGCAAACTGCACTGCCGCGATAAGCTGAATGAGGCCTGAAAAGTACACGGCCTGTTCACAGATAGATGCACTATTGTTTGGTTCTTCTCATCGAAACGTGCGAAGAGTACCATGTAAAGCGGATCGATTGCTTTAGTTTCACCTGTTGACATTGCGATAGCCGTTGTTGTAATTTCGATTTAATGATCGTCAAAACGTTTGCGATAAAAGACTTCTGACCAGATCTGACAGTGTACAAGTCTATGCTCATATGCGCGTATGTGAATACTGTTAGAGCGGCTCGGAATGTTTTTCTCCTGACAAACAAATCCCTACTTCCCTGTCAGTCAGCTTCGCCACCGTCCTTCACAATATCACGCCTATACTTTGGGTCTTAGGGCTTATGTTGCAGAGAACAGCAGATTCTTACCTACATCGATTGTTTTTCATTCCTCCCACCGTTCGTCGCATGATGATGTATAGTTAGACTTATTTTTCTTAAATGATGCAAATTTCTGCATTAAGTTACTGGTCCTCGGCATTGCTGGCTTTGAATGCGTCTCCACGGTGTGTAAAGAGCGACCCAGTTACATGGATCAAATGTCTCCTATTGCTCAATCACCTCCGGTAACTGTTAGATCAATGGGTTTTTCAACCACTGGTCTGCGAAAACCGAAACCCCTCTATTCTATAAGAGCTACACCGCAGCTAGTGTCGACCAGACCGTTTGCCGTACTTTGAAGGATCGCGTTTATTGTATCACAGTGTGACCTGTTGTGCTTTATGGGTGGGAGGTGCTAAGTATGAGTTCGGAGGATATTCATCAATTGGAGATTTTCGATCATTGACATTGATGTTGTTTGGGACGGACAGGCTAGCAACAGGAAGTCAAATCAAGAAACCGTTTCAATTCGTCCCATGGGGGCTGAATATTTAGTCGCTACATAATCTTTCGTAAAAGAAATGGTAACCTGAAGACCAAAAGAATAGGTTTGCGAGATTTCCACTTTGTTGGCATTAGTGTTCGGTGGATCTGCGCATGAGTTTGGCGAGAGGACTTGGGAACATAACTGGGGCTGCATAGAAGCAGTGGGAAATTGACACAAGAGAAGACAAAAGGTTTTATT